TATAAAAAGGAAAAAAGGTGATATCTTAAGACAAAAAAGCGCTATAGCCTGTTCAATGAGGTAGGCTAACTATTACACAGTCAGGAGGGTAAATACTAGCGAAAAAAGGGCAACCAGAAGTGATGGGCCCCAATCTTTACGAGGTTATATCACATGGGTTCTTTGGGTATATAGCCTCAGTTATTCCATTACTGGGAGCGGCTCAGATCATTGGATCATCGTACCTTCGGTAGTGTAGGAAGGGGACAACCAACTTCATTCCATGAGATCCATTAAATCAACCGATCAGGAAGTACGCTGCGTTCAACGTGGAATTAGGGATAACTTTAAAGGCACTGTTCACGAAAAAGTGGTTTCGGAGGTTTGCACATGGTTTGAATTCGAAGCCCCCTCTGATACCATTTGTGCAGGAATGAGGTCGAAAAACGGCTGGATAGGGCACAATAAGGGCAGGAACAGTGGGGGACGGGAGGCCTGCGCCCCTCGCTAGGCTGACTACGAGTTCAAATTGTCCTTCACCACATTCGCATTGGAGCGAAGTTGGTGAAAAGCCGATAAGCCAGTTGGCAAATTGCCGTCTCTGGCAATTTGCCAATTTGCCGGAACACTCCCTAACCACCGTTATTTCAACGTGAAACTCGTCCAACCCCCTTTTCCAGCTCTTTTTTGACCCTTTGCAATTCTTTTTGTTCATCGTTTTTCCCGCTTTTTTCGTGTTATCGCTTTATTCTGGAGTAGTTAGACCGATTCCCGTCAAAAAAGGGTACCCTAAATTTATTGCTAACGGTGCCTTTAAGTGCAGGAAGGGTTCACGGGAACCCGTGACTCAAGTTTCGAATGGGACCAAGATGAGATGAGATAGAATGTGGAAAGTTTCGAGAAGGACGAGAACTTTTGTGGGGCCTAAGAGATGATTCTGAATGCCTTCAGACATGCTCTGCTCAATTTTGTGCATAAGAATATATATCCTTATCAGAATTCCAAATTTTTAATGAAGGCCATGTGCGCGGTGTAATCATGAAAAAAACTTCATTGACATCATTGACATCAAAGACATGTTTTCTAACTATTTCCCCAATCTAGGGGTACTTTCTCATGTGATAAAAAATCCAAACTTGATTTTACTCTCGACGGTAAATCATAATTTTGAGAAATGGTCTCTGGCATGTGACTCATTTTTTTAAATCCTGAGATTTTTCTGTTTTTCACCACCATTCTGGTAGCCAATCTGCTTATGAGGATGGCTTTAAAATGTGAGAATATTCCAAGATGGGATCAATAATTCATAAGGCGAGGCTACGGTGTCGGCACTTTCTCCGTCTCATGAATTCCTCCTTTTTATCTGTTTTCGTTAAATCTCATTGAGTGAAGTATGAAACTCCTTGAAGTTTCAGTCTAGTAAGAAATATTAATCAGATGGGCTGTTGAAGGTTTTCCATTAGGCTTCAGAAAACATAACGATTTTTGGTCAGCTATAATGGGATTGAATTCACACACGCAAACCCTGATCCCCGGGGCTACGGTGGAAGGTCCTCTTAACACGATTCTGATATCATCTATTTTTGAGGCCTCCAGTAAAAGGACCTTTCATCCATCCCAGTCATTCAAGTACATTTTTCTTTGTTCATTCTATGTTTACACTGAGAAGAGCTCTCAAAAGGAAATTCTGAGAAATAGTTCAGAAATCCTAAGCGGGCCCATTGAGAAAATTGGACCAGTCCGTTGGATCGTAGTCAATTATAGGTTTAGCCGTGAACTTGAAAACTTGGCAGAAAGCAAATACCCACCCACATGTAATCACCTACACTACTTGGTTACTCCATTAAGGTTCAGAGGATATAGCGGAGCGGAAGCTGCATTAATGTACTTCTCAAAATAGCAGTTACGATGACAGGAAGGGGATCAGAGCTGTGGAAGTAGTCCTTATGAAGGGGAAAGAAACTCGTAATTGACTTCCGCAAACAGTAGAGGAGTACATTTTAAGAGCTTCAACAAGTACGAAGATCAGTGCTTACGTCATACAAGTCGGCATATTCCATTTCATAATCGCTGATTCGTAGTGAGTACTTCTTGCCGAAATGATTCCATTTCACCTTCCTTCCCGAAAACATTCCGTATCTGAAATGAAAAAAAGGATTTCCAGACAAAGAAATAATTACGGGAGGATTCGCTGTGGTGGAGAAAATGGCTTGTACGAGCTCAGGAGTGCAACGAAAGCCTGCATGAACATAAATAATGGATATTGTTATTACGACTGGAAAAATGGAATTATCTGACGCCACGATAGTCATGGGTTTGTAGGATGACAAAAAATTGCTGAAAAAAATCGTCTGGATCGGATGTTTCGAGAAAAAGAAAAAACAAAAGAAAAGGAGTTTTTCAGGTACACCAATGAGGGGTGTTCGTTAGGTATGTAGGAGAAACAGGAGGTTTGTGAGGATTGAGGAGTTGAAGCACCTTTCCAATCATTAATCCATTTGGGAACGAATGATGAACAACTATTTCTCCCGATAAAACTGCCTCATTCCAATTGGGTTATTCATCATTCAAATTGTTCGTTCCCGTGAGATTGAGAGCAGCACGTGGGAGTGCCTAGAACGGCCAGCCTCTCTAGGCGTTCTAATGTGTACTACTCCTTCCCTATCGGAGAATGATGACATAAGAATTTTGCCAAAATTTTCCTGAACGAGTTTTATGCGAGAAGCAGCCTCTGTTAAGTTTGAGGATTCCCAATTTGTCAGAAAAGAATTTAAGAAAGCATGTTCCACCTGTACATTTCGACGGCTTCTCAGTGCCCTCGAGAAAAATCGTGTTAAACAGATTTCTAAGGCACAAAATGGAACACATGTGCTGTAAATGGTGTCAACTGACTGAAATCTCGTCCAAACGGCCCTTTTGTCGTTATTATCTCGTCCAACCTCACAAAAATTACCGAATATTGAAAAAGCTTCGTAGTAAATTTCGAAGTTTTGGCCGACTTTCTCACTTTCTTCGCCTTTGATGAACGTTTTCGCATCAACCCTTTGCCCTATAACCCAATAAAGGTACATGGGAGTATCGCAAAATGTCCTTTCAAACAGAAACTTTGTTCTAGAAATGGGTGGGCAGAGACTATTCCCATAATCCACTATGACAACTTTTAGTAAGCAAACGTAAGGNGTGTCATCCTTGGGAAGGTTTGCGTGTCTTGCCCTTGGCACGTGATGTCCTCGTTCATAGACATGGGCTACTTGCCACAGCTTAAATACTCTTTTCAGTTATACTCAATAAGTAACCCCCAATTGGACGAAAGTACCAGTGCCCCTGAATACTATTGATGTTTCTACAAACATTTTTGTATTCACGGTTCATTAATTTTCGCTAAAGCCCTAAAACGCACGTATTCTCTTCAAGAATGACTTCAAGGGCCTATTCCTCCTGCTTCCCTCGACTTCTCTGACCAGGCAAACAGACTTTAAGTGCTGCTATATCCTTGATGGGATGAAATAAGAGGTATTATATGTAAAAACCAGCAATAAAGATAACTCTTACCAAAGTATCAATTTTTAGACATGATTCCTTAAAATAAAAATTTTAAAAATGTGAGGTGGAATAGCAATTACTGAAAACCTTGAAGATCAGAGATAGGAGGACAAGCGACGGCACCTTTTGAGATTTCTCAAATCCTATCCAATGTGAGGAGGGTGGAGGAGGGAATGAGTAAGTGGTGGGAGGGGGGGGGGGGGGGGGGGCAATGGGTGAAGCATGGGTCGCGGATCAACTGGAAAACCGTAAAGTGATGTGATCGCTCTAGTTTTGCAATATTCTCAAGGGAGACACCAAAGTGACTTCAGAAATTCTCTTAATTAAGAACTATGAAACACAAATATTTAAGCAATTTCAATTACTCTCTACCACCTATTCTTACTAGATTGCTAGGGCAGCAAACATTAATTTGAGGGTGAGGGGATCCTTTAAACGGGTAACTAATCCACCCAGACGCCATCACGATGCTGAGCAGACTTCGAATGCCTGAACGAATGGGTCCATCTGCAGAAGTCACTTCGGAGCCTTCGAACTTCAAATTAAAACTATCCAACGTCGAGAAACTTCCAAATTCGCAATAAATAGAAGTCGTAGGTTCACGACGAACATGAAGTTTTCTCTTTCTCGGGTGTTCGTTTCAAGGTGCCCTCTTCCTACCGTGTGATGCGCCCTAGTGATAAATTTCAGGAGACTGATTGCTTATTTATTTACTTCGTTTATTTACGTTAAATGCATGTTCCGAGCATGCAGGTGTAAGCATCACTGCTGTCTGCAGCGTTCATCAACAGCAGGGAATAGCGACGTTTGACTTTTCCCCAGAGAACACAGCAATCGGCTAAAAGAGGTGTCCAGTAGTAATGCCAAAATGCCACACACATATCTGACCTCCCAAAAAGCTCTCGAAGTTGAGGCTAAGTGAATTTTGAGAGAGATTGAGTGTCATGAAGTTTTTTGGATTTGCTACTACTCAGAAGCCTTAACGAAAAAAATTGGGAATTTTGAAAAAGGTAAATGGTTTTGCCAAAGACGCGAAATAGGCTGCAGGGACCGGCAATGTGTTTTTAAAGGCTCTCGTAATTGCCGATGAAGGAGAACACACAATAGAAGGACGAATTAGATGGCAATTCTCAGAAAAAGGCCAGAATTGTGGAAGTGGGGGATATGAAAGTCTCAGAGTCAAAGATAGAGAGGACCTGCATGACAACTTCTCTTCATCTATCAGAAATAGCAAATGAAAACCAGAAAAGCAGAAGTCACGGCGTCTGTGAGGGCGGACCAGATCAGAGAACCCTTGCCCAAGCATGTGGGAGCTGCTGAGGGCGTTCAGCTCTAGCCACGCCCCAGCAGAATGACGGCATCAGTAACGTAACGTGAATGAGCTATGGGCATTAATCAGTTTAGTGCTCAAATGAGATGCCAATTGGGTGACCAACCCGGCTACACACCCAACATTCTCTTCTTGGGGAACCTCAGTACCATAGATACAAGCTGCGGTAGTCTCACAACTGCAACCTCACTCCGAGCATTCACGGTTTTGGTAGGATCTCAGTTCGTTCCACATCATATCGTCCACTGAATGGCAAAGAAAGCTAGGAATCTATTTATAAATCTTTTGCATTTGATGAAATAAATGATTAACAATCAATCTGATCGTGTTGAAATGGTGTTCATCAAATTTGCGGGGGGAGCTGAATTTCATTTAATGACAATATTTCATTGTATAAGAAGTTTTTAGAAGATTACGAAAACACACGATTTAAAATTCATTGCGAGCAGCAAAATGAATTTGTGTGACTGCGAAGCCTTTTCGAGAGAATTTCAAGGAAAACAACTCATCCTATTTCCCTGTCTCAGCAGCTGCATGTGCTTGGTCAAACTAACAGTCCCAAGTTCCAGATAGGCTCTGAAGTAGGATGAGTAATGAAGTGGCTTGACAGTGTTGATAGACCACATTGATGTGAAGAGGAATGGTTGGACAAATACAGTCCACTCGAGAAACTAACTGGTCGTACATCTACTTGAAAATGAAAAATAGGAACATCATCAGAAGCTGCCAATTTCAAGGAGGAGGAGGTTCCTGCTATATTCAAATACATTTTGAGTAGCCATTCTCACAAAATGCGAAATATTTGGACAGGATGAATTTCGAAAATCGGAGGGACCCGGAGCTAGCTTGAAAAAAATAAGGAGGAGGAAAGAAGAAAAGGAATATAAAATTATCGTCATGGAATAAAATGACGCAATTTTCGCAGAATAGGCTCACTTTAAAGAATCTCCTAATTGTTGTTTTTACTGTAAACGAGTGTTTGTTCTTCTTTCAATCAACCACAAAAGGGACTTATTTATTCATGAAAAAAGCCTTGGTACGAAAAATGGCTCGTTAGGAAGGTCGACCACTCAAAATGAGTTGTTGCAAACTTCTGAGTATCCAGAGCAGCAGAATCGTTACTCGAGTATTTTTTAGGAATTGCCTATACTCGAATGACCTCAAATTCCCTTCTTGAAGGCCCAATGATGATGTCATAAAGGAGTTAGTGCAACAATAATACTAATGACGAATTCTGAAAAGCTACGACTTCATGCCATTTGACTTTTAATGGCATACCCTTTTGGCATATAACAATAAGAGTATTAAGCTTTGCACGAATAGTTCGATAGGTCTGACGTGCCTCATTAACACCCGTTCGGCTGCGCAGGAGTGTTGGGGGGAGCAGGAGGAAAAGTAGATATCAAAGGCAGAGCACTCAAAGACAAGGAGCAGAGATGAAACCTTGACTAGCTGGGAGGTCCAACCAAAACATAAACGGTGGCAAGTCTCTAGAAAAAACAGGTCGGGTGTGCCACCAATATGGTTTTGTCAGGCCTGTCAGGAAGTTCTGTCAGTCCTCCTCTGAAAGCCAAGTAGAGCTTTTCTTCACAAGCTTTACCCACTCCAATCCAATTCAGCTACTTCGAATTGATTCCCTGGTTATGGGAAGAGGCAAAAGGTCAGGTTAGAAAAGGAAAAGGAAGTCAGAGCGTGCAAATAGTAAGTCTTTATTGAAGACTTTGTTTGTCGTCAAGTCTCATTTTCACAACAGAAAATGGAATAAGTTGCTCAATCGGATTATGAAATAAACCTCATATGGTATGTGGTTTCCATAGAAATTAGTAGAAATATAATGAGAACGAGATAAATCTGTAAAACGTCATCTGAACCCATTTTGATAATCAGCAATTGGAACTTGATTTGGTTGTTGGTTTTCAGTATAAAAGGGCCTTGAAGGAGCCATAGTTCGAAGCAAATACATTTTGCACTGAGGGAGAGCTAGGGAGAATTTAGTCAGACTTACAAACCGCCTTTAACTTGAACTTTTAATCCCCGCTAGTTCACAGCACGACTACTCTGCTCGAATGAAATTGCTTCAATGTCTATAAACTACTGTTGGCCTAGCTCAAATTCAAGCCAAAACAGAGTAGCTCGAGTCCTATTTGGGCCAACGAAACTTTACTGTGGTCTAGAGAAAAATTCGAAAGAAAATTGAAAGTTCCGGAAAATTTTCTTTAGAAAAAAAGAATGGTTCCGATGAGTCACAATTAAGGGGAT